CCTTTCAAATGGTCCAACGCATATTGGACTCAACTTCCCTTTTTACCCAAATTTATTGATACCTTTTATTGTTTTGATCTTCATATATATGAATTCTTGAACCTAAAATTTCACAACTCATTGTTTTGGATCATAGTACTATGCATGCCTATCTTAGATAGCTTTTAATCTATCTTCGATTAGATAGATTTTTAGTGGCATCATTCTCTAAGGCTAGCCCAATCAGACTTTTTTTGTCCCACTTATGTCCAAAATAGTGGGGTTCTACATCTTCCATCATATAGATCTTCATAAAGAGTCATGCCTATACTTGATTAGAAATCATTATTCTAGAAAATTTTGATTAGGAAATGTGATCCTCCCAACTGCCACCAAAGCCTAGAAAGTAAAGCCTTAGAAGGTATTCCAGAAGTTGGATAGTCTTTTCAGACTGTCTATTGGTCTATAGATAGAAAGCTATATTGAAATGTAATTTTGTGCCAAATCTTGTTGAATTCTCCTTCAAAACCTAGAGGTTAATATGTCATCTCTATCAAAGATTATCATTCTTAATACTTTATGTAGTCATAAAATCTCTTATACATATTCTTGTATTAATCTATTTATATAATCATTGTTCTAGGCCAGAATGAAGTGCTTAGACTTCGTTCGGAGAGGGTAATGAAGAACATTATGAAAATTTCAGCAAATGTCTCTTATGTGATAAGGATCAATTATACATACCTCATGAGGCATACAAGTACAGAATTGGGGAGTGACTATTATATAATGAAATGAAGTAACAACTTATGAGACACGAGATGACGAAGATGATAAGGAGATGATACAACTAAGAGAGCAAATCATATCTATGTTGGTTAATGAGATGAATTAGATTCATTCTACACATAGTTCTTTAGGGGCATTATTCATATGTTTTACAAGAGTAGAGTGAAATATAAATCTTTATTATTATTTTTTATTTGTTATATGAACTTCCTTATATTCTTACCATTTGATTGTTATGGAGGTGACTTTTTATAAAGCAATCATATAAGGAACCAGAGTTTGACTAATATTTTATGTCATCCTATTATCTTGTTTTAAACTTGTCTATTGATATTGCTTTCAAGTTGAGCAATACATGCTCTTTCACACACATTACTTAGAAAACTAGTAGAAGCAAATGAATTTTTTTCCTTAATGCGAAATAAATAAAAATGTGCGTTACCCTTTTCATAAGCCCAATTATTTAATGAGTAAGGGGTTTGCCTTTAGAGGAAATATAATGTCCTAAGCCATACTTTATGAAGTATTGTCGTTATTGGCCTAGTCAATCCATGTATGATGCATCTTATAGTGGAGCAATTATTACATATGGAGTCCGGATGTAGATCTATGTTTGAACTTCAGTCCTTGGTTGACACATGTTTTTGGGTGAATTTCTTTTTTTCAGCCATGTGGATTTTTTTAAATAATGTGTGTCCCAATGAGTTGGCTCAGCTATTTTTAATTATTATTATTATTTACCAGCATGATGAGACGACCCAATCCAAAGGTTATTTTTCAAGAAAATAAAGGAAATGAGTCACGATAATTTTGAAATCACGTGGAAATGCAAAAGTTTTATGGTTTTGTTGTTAGGTCATTTTTCATTATTTTTGTGGTTAGAAGGTCCTTGCATCTTATGTTTTTGGAATTTGACTAGTAACTGTGATGTTTCTTGCAAACACTAAAATCAAACTTATGAGCATACCTACTATACATCTCAATATGCATCCTAACACTTGTATGTACCCTGTGTGCAATGAAAAATATATTAAGAGAAAACACACCACAAAAGTGTGTATAACCTTTTGCAATAATTCTCTATGCATATAGTGCACAACTTGTATACATTGTATACAAACTATAAACAATGTCCTCAAGAAATTTAATACAAAACAGTTTGTACTGTGTATCTAAACAAAAATGTCATATGCAGACGATTTTCCAAAAAAATCATCAAAAACACAAATAAAAATCATTGAGCACCGTGTATCTGATCGGAAATGTCATATGGTCGTTCAATCTTTCTAACTGGACTTTTCAAAATTTTCAAAAATGAGAAAAAATATTACGCATGTCTATTCTATTTGAGGAATTTGTCATAAAAATAAAATTGAAGAATACACCCTATTTCCTAACCGAATTGACTTCCCGTTCACCCAACCTTGCAATCTCCGCACTATTCTGTAAACTCTCCATGGTTGGTTACAGTTTTCTTATCTAAAAGTTTTTAGTCTACACATCATGTTAGCATATCATCTCATTAGATAATTGAACATCCTCTAAAGTAGTCTCAATCTTCTTCGTTTGTTCCTTCAAAATTTTGGGGTCGATTCGCCTAAAAAATTTATTCCATGAAAATCCTAAATTTCAGGAACGAGAGTCATGGGTATTTTTTTTAAAAAAATTAGCATCATATAAAATAGTTGCGTCTGGTTGTCGGGTCATGCATTATTAAACTAATTCACATGGCTGCAAAAAAATACATGTCAATAAAGGTTTGGAGTCAAGACGGGGCTACTTCTGGACTTTGTATGTAATAACTTCTTATAGTGTCATGCTTTTTGATGTTTGCGATTTCCTCTACTGATTGGAAGAAATTCATATCAAAGAATATATAGACTTGGGCACCGGTTCATCCCATCCTACTCAAACTTGAGAAAATTTTCAGCACTGCAAGGTCTCGAATATCTAATAAAGCCAGATGTATATGCCCAGTCTTTTTGATTACCATATTCTCTAGTCTGTAACTAGTCATCCAGTTTCACAGCTTTACTCTCCCAGTTCAACGTCAAACACCTGGAAATTTATCAGGTCATCCATCTCTACACTCCCATTCTGATAATCTTATGTGCTAAGAGAACAAAGTTTGTTTTAATATAAGTATGAAGTATATGGCATTTTTTTTAATATATGTTAACCATTTTTAGAATACTGTGCAGAATTTGTATTGATTATGACGGACGCGTTGAGGTAGTATGTATAGTTCCTAATGTATCTAGCTACCATTTGTAAGTTATTGATGAGCTCGTGGTTTTAGTTTGAAGTTGTAAAACTTAATCCCTAGTATGGACAGAAAGATTAGGGTTTCTCATTGTTGTAAATTTTATAATATATTCAATATTTTTTAAACTCAATATTAGATATTATATTAGCTAAACTTGTCCAATTAATATGTAACAATTTATTCTGGATTTCAAATAATTTTTATTATGAATTTCCTTACATTGAAATTGTAATTTAGAGATATAGAAATATTTTTTTTTTCATGATAAGTCATTACATACTTTTTTAAATTCAATCTTAAAATTTTTGCCAAAATATATTATTATTTTTCAAGAAATATAATTTTTTATGAAGTAATTTGAAAGATTTTTTTTTTCAGATTATTTTTAAGTATGATAGTATATTCTTAAAAAAATTATTAGTATTATGATATTTAAAAGTAAAATAATATTTGTTGAAATTGATTAAAAGTTTAATTTAGGATTATTAGTTTATTATATACATTTTAAAAAGTTTTGGTAGTTAAATAATTTTTAGACATCTCAATATAAAAGTATCAAGGTACTTTAGTTAGAATAGGAGATTGAAAGTTATAATATCCAAGTAAAATATTATGATTTTTGTGTAACGATTTAAAAAAGTAACTTTTTATGCAATATTTTCACAACCTGATTTACTGAGAGTTGTAGCCATCTCAAATACGCCTTGAGTTGATCCCAGCAATACATTTCAAATTGTGATTAAAGAAAGAGTGTTTTGTTTCTTCTGTGATGTCATTTGATCGAAAAATTATTCGACGTGGACTCTGCGCGTAGCTCTACATCCAAACTCTAATAAAATGTCATCACTTATGGCTCGATAACCCCGCGTGGCTCGATGATTGACCTAGACCAAATGCGAAAAGTTACTTTATATTAATGCGTTTCAATTTTTAAAAATCGATCGAGACGTTTCAGTTTTTCAAAATCGACGGGGGCATTTTAGTACCTCTTGTTAAAGGCACTTTTCATCTTCATCTGAAGCTCCTTCCGTTTGCTCTAGATTTTCGTTGCAGACCACTAGTCATGACTAAGCTCAATTTTTTATTACAAGGATAAGAAGTTCTTTTTCACGAGATATGTTAGTTTTTTTTTTTCTACGAGATATGTTAGTTTTATTCATTCTGCAAATGTCAAGTTAGGGTTTTTCTATACTCTGTACCAGTGTGTACCGGTGTGCACCTATGGGCACTAGTGTGTACCTGTGTGTACATGTGGGTATCGGTGTGTATCGGTGGATATCAGAGTGTATCGGTAGATATTGATGTGTCTTTATGTCCATTATTTATTGTTCAAATGAAGAATTTAACATTTCATTTCAATGATGATTTATTTCATTTTTTCTGCTCATGTGTTCCTTTCTTTTGTGTTTATGTGAACTTTTGTGTACATTGAGTACTTCTGGGTACCGCATTTGGGTACTACTGGCTACCCCATTTAGGTATCTCTGTGTATCAATTATATGTACCTTTTGATGAAGGTTATCATTTTGGTGAGAGTGTGCCCAAAGAACTTTGCCTAGCTAGTAAGCAAAAAATTTTGTTTAATAAAAAAAAAGTTGGTTAATTGATGAAATAAAATAAAATGTCGTTTAAAACTTTTTCAAATAAAAATAAAACAGGTTTAAAATGCATTTTTATAAACTATACTATTATATGTAAAAAATTGAAATATATATTTTAAAATGAAAATACATAATTCATCTATTTTATACTTAAATATATACAAATATTTCTTTCTAATTTTGAATAAAATTTTAAATTAAGCATAACGGTAACTTAGTTTTTGAACGCTATTGCGTCTTCATTCATCCGGATTTTAATTCGAATCTTTTCTAATTTATTTTTCAGTCTGTTAACCCTTCCGCACTCTCTATAAATAAAGCCCTAATCTGACTTTCTTGTTTATTTCCTTTTCCTTCCTCCGGACTCCCCTCTCTACTTTCTATTAACTCAACTTGCTCAAGAGATCGTCTCGTGGCCTCGGAAGACTCTTCCCGTTCAGGCGAACGGCTCCTGATGCTGAAGAAGGTAAATCTCTCTCTCTCTCTCTCTCTCTCTCTCTCTCTCTCTCTCTCAATCTCATGATTCTCATTTATATTATTCATCTTATAGTAACCGGAAGGGTTAGAGAGCTTTAGGGGTTGTTTGGATGCTGGATTTATGTCGATTTTGAGTAGGATTTATGCCAAATCCTGCCATACGGGATTTGATCACCTGCTAAATCTCCTCACGGCGGAATAACTCCTACGGCTCCCCCTCTGGACCGTAAATCCGGGATTTAGTGAATCCTGAAATTTTAGCGGATTTACGGGATTTGGCCGAAGAAGCAAGCGAAAGGACGAAAGATAGTTACCTTCACAGCGAGCGATCACACGTAGTTGCTTCTGATTAAAATGTGGTGACTTCCGATCGGACAGAAAGGGAACGTGGTCGAAGGAGAAAAGTCAGCAACGAAGGAGCCGAAGAAGCGACTCGCAAAACTCTACCTCTCGTAAAGCAAAGAAGTCGACCATCAACGATGAAATTTAGAAGATGAAAAGCAAAGAAATCGAACAGCAACAACAAAATGGCCATACCCCACTCCGTCGCTCTCTGATCGGAAATCCCAGTTCGTCTCTCTCGTTCGCATGACCTAGGAAGACTGGTTGAACACTCAAGGGAATGGAAGTCGTGCCTTGCTTCTTCACTCGAACCCGAAGAATTCTTCCCCTACAGCCAATAATGCCTTTACCCTAGCCGCCAGTTTTGCTGTAAGTAGTTTCTCTTCGTTCTTTCTCTTATTCCCTTCCATTAGTTTCCTTCTTCTTGCCTTTGTGAACAAACAAGTTAGGGATTTATCTCCCTCAATGTTCAAATCTAATGGCTGTTTTAAATTTTAACTCAAATTGCCTGTCTCTTGCATGTTGATAGAGAGGATAATGAGATTTGTTAAAGGAATGTTGATGAGATTTTCATTCTTACTTTGAGAATCAAGAGCTGTTTATTTTCTCTTTTCTTTAAAAAAAATCTTAAAACAACTTGCTTATTTTGTTGAGATGTGTATAGTTTGAAGATTTTAAGTTACAGTTGTGAATCTTCCGATATATCATTCTGATTGTTCGTTCTAAAACTTTAAATGAATATCTGTCGTTAATTGTATCTTCAACCAAATGGATACCTTTCTTTGACATAATTTTTTATTAAGGTGATATTTCTTATACGTAATATAGAAATTTATCAAAGAAGTTAGGTTTTTAATTTGGAGAACAATCTTTATTAATGTTAACACCCACATGGCCACAAATATTCAATATCAAATATTTTTTTAATCAAGAGATCATATTATTAGAGGCTTAATTTTTTTATGGGACATTTAGGACCGTTTTGATTTTTAACAAGAGACGATGGAGACGAAGGATTCATGTAGCCGACCCCACATAGTGGGAGAAAAGGCTTGATGTTGTTGTTGGACATTTAGGGGTATAACACAATTTCATTATCTAAAAAGGATAACTACAATAGTTAGAACCTATGAAACTGGGAAAAATTTTTTATACAGCATTACATGCTGAGAAATGTAGTGGAGAAAATCTAAACAATTTAAACATATTCCAAAGTAACAAACATAACTTAGAAAGTACAAAAAAAAACCCATAACCAGGTGTAGTATATGAAATAGTCGATCATCATTGCACTGCAAAAATTCTACAAATCAATTTCCAAACCATTATAAAAAAAATTGAAAATGATATGAGAAAATTCAAGGAAAAAAAATGTAAGTACGAAATTTTATGCATCTTCATCACGACCGACCCTTGTCATCATGCAGGTATAAAGTTATTTTTTTGGTTTGCTATACATTAAATTTTTTTTTTTTTGTATTTCTTATAACTTTTGTTGAATTGCTAACAAACTGTTCAATATTTACATATATATTGGTATCTAATTCTGTATGTTAATTTCTTCAATTTCGTTTAGATACCAAAAAAACATGTATATTTTGGTTTAATTGCTTTATTGATTTATGATATTATTTATTGGCATTTTGTGCATTGTGGAGCCAACCAACTGAAATAGAGAGTAGCAGTGATAACTTTTTTTTTTAAATGCAACTAATGTTATCCTGCCTAGCATGTCATCTTTTAGCAACAAATCACTTTCAACTTATTAATACCATATGATAATATAAATTTAATTAAATGAAGGTAATCTAAGTCCACCTTGGGTTGGGATATGTACGGTGTTGAGGAACTATTTGTAAGCCAAACTTTAATGTTTTTAACCATCATCCCTTATATTCCAATTTGCAATCCAACTACTATTATACCACCTTTCCAGCTATGACTCATAATCCCAACTAGGCATTGTTTAACTTTTTTATTTTCTTTTAAGCATTATTTTCTTACGAGTCATTTTCAAGTGCTTCTAAGTGGTAACTTGATTTGTATGCTGCACTGCTTATATCATCATACTTCTTCTCTACTCACTATGAGATGTTTGATCAAAACATACTTTTGCTTACAATTGAATATTAAATAAGATCATCCGAGATATTGATATTTTGTAAATCATCAGGTTTTGAAAGGTTTCTTAAGAATTCAAGTTAAAATGATGGCATCATATAAATCATCAGGTTTTGATGCCCTTCTTAGAGAGCAGGTTGTGAACCGGCTCTGCTTGGTTTAGTCGTAAACGTGCATTTAAGTATTATTTTTATGTGTTCTTTAAGAAATACTACTCTAACATTGTTGGACCTGAGTATGTTGTAAAGTATAACGCTTTGATTTATCTTGATTGATTTTGCTTAATTTATTGCTGATATTGCTATTTGTTTGATGGATGTTGTGAAGGTTTTGCATTCAAACTCAATAAGGCTTTGCAAGAGGGTTAAGTGATGGGTTATCTAAGATTGTCAAATCCAAAGGAATCTCAGGTACATCTTCAAAGATATGAAATTCAAGCTAAAATGTGATCCAGTGCATTGATGAAACTTAAATACTTTTTTAATTTATATTGCTTTAACTAGACCTTATTCAGAAGGTCTTTCAAATGCTACTATATTACTTACTATATAATGATTATTTTGTTGCATGATCCTTAGAAGTTAATTTTTCTTAAATAATTGATCCAGTGCATGATTATTTTGAAGCACTATAATCAGCTTATTTCAACTTATATGTTGTGATGTATAAATCATTGAATCTATTGAGAATATCTTATATGAATCAATTTTTATTCATAAAATCTCATGCACAATTATTCAGTATTTAATCCTAATTCAAGTTATTCCTAGCACTCATTTCGAGAAGATAAGGCTCTTTCTTTCCTGTTATAATTTTGATCCAAAATCCTTCAGATTTATCTCTAGGTAAGGTCTTCTCACTTTTAATTGTGTAATATTCAGATTCATTTCTAGGAATGCTATTCAAAATACTTTTAAAGCTGTAACTGTCTGTGTCAATTGGTCTTTAAGCATTGAATTTCCAAATCAGTAAAAATAGAAGCTTTTTCTTCAATGTTCTTGTTACTATAAGAGTTATACAGTAGGATTAAAATTTTCCTCTCTATTTCATCGCAGGTAATTGTTTGGACCTTGTTTTAAATTATCTGATTAATTTATACTTCACACTGCATTTTGCTATTTGAAGACAACTTTATTTTCTACAAACAGCTCCTTATAATGTACTTCGTTGTATGTTTTATGTTGTAATAACATTTTAATGCACTTCTAATGTTAAATTAAATTTACACAAATTGTTTGTGCTTACAATTTAGAGATGGCACCCTTTTTAAATTTGATTATTATGATTTTGTTGCAAACTCATTGTTGGGTTCACAATAAATAATAGATTCTAGAATGTCGACAGTTTAGAAATTGAGTACGGGATAGAAAGAGACAGTAAACTTAACTGAAGAGAGGCTTGCAAGATTTCATTTCATCATATTTAATTCCTTCAAAAATATACTATTTATAGAAATAAGACTTAAGGACTCATATAATATCTATTAACTCCTAACACTCATGATTTGGCTATAAATTACAATTACTTACGGATATCTGTTAATATATTCCCAATTTCTTTAAGTTATTGAACCTAACGGATTTATTTTGCAAAAATTATGAAATAATCGAATTTCTTTAAACTGACTAGTTGACGAGTTAATGGAACATAGTAGTTAATGGAACATAGTCGTGCTCTTTGAGATTTGGGTTGTCGTATAAATGAAGGTTATTAAGAGATAGTTTTATAAATATATAAATTTTGGGAAATTATGTAACAGTACATGTGAATGAGATCCAACTTTTCTAACTGAGCTTTGTTGATTTTGCTTCATGTATTGGTGTTGACCTGCATCTTATACACAAAAGAACAAAAAGAAAGAGGAAGCCAAAATCTAACGTGCATACATCTTACCCGTTGGATCCACAAAACCAGCTGCGAATCCTTTTGAGTTCGGCGCCGAAACAGTCGTTTCTCCGTAAAATCTTCCGTAAAGCCAGTAGACAGCCTCTATAAAACGATCGTTGCTGCTCTTCTCTCGTTGGAAAATACCACGATCTTTTCTCTGCTTCCACGAATAGAGCCGGCCGAGCCCTCTTGTTCCGTCGCCTCCCCACCCTGCTCCTTCATCCCATGAGAGAGAGAGAGAAGAGCTCCCTTACCTGGCCGGCACCTCCTCTACCCAGCTTCCTCCGCCGACTTACCTTGCTCCTCCAAAGCCGATCCAGCCCATGCCGAACTCCCTAGCTCCCTCCGATTCCTTCACCTCTCTCAACGACGTTCCGCTCCTGTTGGTTCGGAAGTTACGTCATTTTAAACGGAAGCAAGATAGGGAGCTTGATTGCTGCGAAGGTAACTTTCTCCCTCATGCGCGCTCCATTCGGCCAAATCCCGTGAACCTGCCGAGCCTAACCGAGAGAGAGAGGGAGAGAGTTTACTTAATTTAAATTAATTTTGATTAAAATTAATTTAAATGGTGTGTAATTTTGTAAGTCACCAACACTAGAGCTCTTCACCCCATTCATATCCTCATCCTTCTGGTTTATGTTCTCTAGAGAAGAATCCGACAGAAGAGACACCCAATAGATTCAGTACTATCCTAGCAGACTCCCACTTCCTAACCATTCCAGCCACGCGCATTCCTTGCAGCAATCCCGGGAAGTCAACGATACTATGGAATGGTAGATATTACCGTTTCAATGACGATTAGCCATATTGTCCCAGTTGGAAGATATACGGAGTGTTCTGTAGATCCATCACATAAAATGAGAAGATATTTACAGAATCTGATACATCCCCGCACTTTAAGAAGACTTGCATAAACCAAAAAATAGATAAAATATTATAAAGCAAGCAATAATATAACTCTATGAATGCAATATTGTCAAATAACATTTTAGAAAATTTCAGAGTTTGATATTAAGCGATCATTTGAAAGACTCACAAATCTTGAGTAGCGATTTGAAATATAGCTGTTACTATAAGCACTGAGAGCGACTAGCCAAAGTGGAAAGGCTAGGAGTAGCAGAAATCTGTGGGCCTCCGAAAATTCGGTCCACCAGGCTCCGCTCGTTTTTCTTTTTATCAAGAGTTTTAACGAAAAATTCTGGGACCGTAAATTTTGGAAGGCAGATGGTTTGTAGATAAGGACACTACCCAGAGATTTTCGCCCTCATTTTGTGAGGACTTTATGATCTGAGTTCCTGGTTTTCCTATATAGAGACATATAGTAAATAGATAGAGAGAGAGAACTTTCCGATTTTAAGGCTAGTTCCGTCAAATGAGATATGATAGTGTTATATGGCATACAAATAGCAGCAATGAGTTTAGATATTAAAGAACTGAATTTGGATTTGGGATTCAGAAAGGTTTGGAAAGTTTACCTATTTAAAATAGGGAATTTCACCAGTCTAGCACTTAAAGCGCATGGTGGGGGAATGGATGATCAGACCCGATCAAGATCGTCATGGTTCCATCATCCCAGCCCCTCGTGGTCCCTGGTCTACTTAGTCAGAGAAGGTAGTCATCCCACCTGATACAGAAGGATCCTTGTCGGCAGCCATGGGTTGCTTTGTCCAGGGAACTTGTAGACCCCTGGGTTGGATGTTTGTCTAAGAGGACAAATTTGGTTCATTAGCTTAACAGAGGGCTTTGTGCCCTAGTCGATCATAATCCTATTGATTCATATCTCAATGATTTAACATCCAATTAAGGAAGCGTATTTGGCTGCTGGCCATAACCGACTATCTGTGGTGCCATTGGCGGCAAAACCAACTCGGTTCAGAGACCGGGTCATAACCAAGAGTATATATAGAAAAGATGGCCATTTGGCGGCGAAACTGCCGGTTAGAGGACACGTACCACGTCTTACTGGTAAGAGATTATTTGAAGAATTGATCCTAATGTGATCTTTTTCGACTACGGCATTTAGCTCTTTGTGAGCGTAGAAGTTTAATTTAAATTTGTCCACCTCGGCAACCTGCTACGGAGGGTGGATGCTTATTTTTCTTTAAATATTTGATAGATAATTATTCAAATTTAAATATATATATATATAAGAGATTTGTGGTTTTGTGAGATTTTAGATTTTGATAGGCCCATTTTTGTGGGGGTTTGCAAAAAGACATTGAAATGTATTTTAGATATTAGGAGACATGAAAAATTTGGGACCCCTCCGGTTGAGATCTGCATTCATCACGGCCATGGCATCGAGGTGTACTTGGTCATTTTATATATGACTATAGATTATTATAGACTGAGGATTGGGTTTCGATAATTCCGTGCCTTTATTAGTGAATTCATATGTTGTAGGCCTTGAAGACCTATATCGAATGTTTATAAGCAAATATACCGATCGCCACAAACTTTATATTTGCTTAAAGTCGAACCCTGTCTACTTCTATTAAACTTGTATAGAAGGATCAGTTTCAAACCTGGAATTCACGTTGTCAACCGAGCTACCCGCATGCATTGCTAGACATCACCGTGTGTACTAATAACACGCCGCCGGGGCCCATGCGGGTTTTAATAATTGTTTATTCTCTTTTTAGTGTACCTATGTGTATATAATTATAGTGCACGTGGAACGGTCACTTTGAATAAGGTTGTGGATGCTTTTGTCCTGCTTGTAACGGAATGTTGCAGCATCCGGTGGCGGTGGTGGCGTAACACTTCTGAATGGAGTTGTCGCATGCCTAATTGTACAGGTAGACTGTCGTGGCACCTATTGTTGATTTTTGTAGGTGGGGTCGTAGTGCACTAATAAATCTCCCGAATAAAAACTCGTAGGAACTTTCACCTTGTTGTAAATCAATTTGGTATTATTGTTGTGGATATTTTTGTTTCTTGTATGAGCCCTCTTGGTGTCATTGAGAAGTTTGTATGTCAGCTCGACATTTCACTTCTATTTGGGATTTAATGAATGACCTTCATCTCAATGACATCTTTATTTGTAGGGGATACATTGTCTTCTAACGACGACCTCCTGGAAGTATTTTGTAGAAGATCTATTGTTTCTTCTGCATCGAAACCACCCTTTTTCACCAATCTCGGGTCGGTTTTTGTGTATTTGCACTTGTTTATACGGTCGTAATTCACATCGCTGACAAATTTGCACTTAGTCTGCTAATCAACCATCTTTCAGATTACCAAGGAATATATGTACTTGTGTTCGACTCGGAATGATTTCATTTAGTTATATGATTCAGAGTACATTCCCTATTTGATCCCTTTGAATTCCATATTTGAAGTGCGATCGATCTATTCATAAATAAGATCGATTCGATACATTTCTTATGTACCCATAGGTGGCTATATATGGATTTGAATCAGATTTCGATTCAATCTCATATTGATTGACTGCCTCATCTATATTGACACTACGGACATTTCACGATTTGTTGTAATTGCTTCACTAAACATATCCGTAAGA